ACCCAAATTCTTGCTAGTATTGTTACCACAATTTTCATTGCAAATACGTAATTCAATTAACTTCAACACCATTTATTTTTGTTAGGAGCCGGCATAGCGTACTCGGTATAGCGACTGGCTACAGGCTGGACGTCCGAGCGGTTGGAGTTCGAGTCCCGGTAGGGTCAAGAATTTTCTCTTCTCGTTGTCCCAGCCGGCTCTGGGGCCCACCCAACCTCCTATCCAATGGGTACCGGGGGTAAAGCGGCAGGGACGCGAAGCTGACGACTCACCTATAGCTAATGCTGAGATCAAGAAAATTTGTGGATCTAGACATCCACTCCCCCTTAAGCCTTAATGGCGTAGTGCTTAATTAGTTAAGATCAGGCATAAATTTACCATGTAGTTTTGCTGTCTGCAAGCCCTAACTTTTGTTGTAGGCAACTGACTAAATATGTAAGTTCTGAGGTTTTCACGGCGATGACAATGAAGAAAGTCGTCTTCTGGGTTTTGGCTGACGTTTCGGAGGAACGTATCGCCTCCATCTTCAGAGCAGGTGAATAGTTTGTGAATGCAGAGAGCAGTAGCTGCTCTTAAGATGGAGGCGATACGTTCCTCAGAAACGTCAGCCAAAACGAAGAATACACGGCGCCAAAACCCAGAAGACGACTTTCTTCAACTGACTAAATAATTTGCAGTATTTACTAATATAACTAAATAAAAAATACGAAGCCATACAAATGTAATTATTAATAAAAGCCGACTACAACCCACACAAAAATTTAACCAGAGCTGTTTTATGGATAATTATTTATAAGAAGTTGTCCGGGAAGGAAAAGATAAAAATGGTGGCAAATAATTCACTTCTGACATGATCTGGCACACAGAGACTATGACTAACCAAGGAATGGGGATGTAACATTCAAAGGGATGCAGAAATTCAAGTAGGGGTGTTTAAATCTTCAGCTTCATCATCTGCACAGTTTATTTTTAATTTCTTATTTAACTTCATTTTTTTTCTAAATCGAAGCCACAATAAATAGTCTTTAAGTCACCACTCCATTTGAAACCGAAAAATCAAGATTCTTGTTTTGGGAAAGCCATACACTACCGCAGACCCCAACAACAATTTTGGACCCAGCAGATGTCCAAACATTTTCTATTTATATCTGAGAATGGAAAGCACGTTAAGATCTATCCACAATTTATAATACAATAATTAAAATTTGTTTCATACATATGACAGAAATAAGGCAAGAATGTAAAATCACTTTATTTTGGGCAAGTTTTATTTGTAACCTGTTTGGCTAGAGCCTTTTTGATTCCACTCCTCCGTGCCCTTTAGCCCACAAGTGAACTATACCTACCGAGAGGCTGCTGCTTGTCGGCAAAGTTATTGCCAACTTTTGCGGATAGAGGGTGTCGCGTGGTGAGCGCAACGGATTCCCACAACCGTTAATCTCGGTTTTCTAGACCGGATTTTGATTCCACTACCAAACAAAATTCCAAAGTATAACTGGCAGGTGAAGTGACAGAATCTTCCACCTTAGCCACTCAATGATTTGTGGGAAGCTCCAAGATCACACTGGATTATACACAGCAAAACAATTATTAAATTTGTAAATACAATACTTCAGAATTTCAAATTCAGTAAATTTGTCTAGAGAGTGGGAGACAAGAGATAATAATCTCAGGATCCCTGAAATGCTTTTATATCATGCCTTCATCTTAGAATGCTACGTGAAAAATCACTGAAAAGTTTGATTCCTGTATACACTACTTCCTGATCGTGAGATTAGCATGTGGTTTGGGTAAAGTTGTCCGTGTGCTTAACTAATTAAACATTATGCCATGAAAGGATATGGGGGGGGGGGAGGTATAGATCTACATTTTCTTGATGTTGGCACTAGGTGGAGGTAAGTGGTCAGCTTCACGCCCTGGTCACTATTTTATTTCTGCTGGTTAGTAAAATCTGCTACTTACTAATTATGAGAAGGGGGTTGTGATCTTTAGCACTGTGGTTTATAAAGTTGGCACTGGTACCCTCAGGAGCCATAAAGTCATGACACAGTAACCACATTTTAATGTCAACTTCAGCTGAAACAATTATTTTCAGCTGCATTTAATCATTCCTTCCATCAGTATCATAAGACCTGTTAATCCAGACACTAACAAATCGTAGCAAATTAGCTCTCACTGTCTACTGGCATTATTCATCACCAAATAAAATCGTACAGCATTTCATTTTTAAAACTTATTTTTTACTCACTGTTTTGGTAAGGTGCTAATTATGAATCAGTTACTCATAAACAATAAAATTAATTGGGAGTCAGGATTTCTTTAAAATCAATACATCAGCTTCACATCAAAAAGTTTGGAAACCACTGCTTTAGTATGCATATGTATTCGCTGAGGGGATCGCAACAGAGGTACTGTTTTCAAATAAGATAAAATTGTTCATGTGCTTAATTATATACAGGGTGTCCCAGGAGGAATGTGCCAAACTTCGGGAGGGTGTTCCTTATGTTAAAGTATGCCGATATAACCCAAAACACCTATGTCCAAAGTTGAACGGTTACGGAGATAATGGCC